GTCGGGGGGGGGGGGGGGCATCCCCCCCTGAAACCCTCCATGTAAAAAATAAGTTAATTATTACAACGCCACTGGTCCTAGTTCTGTTTTCAAGCTTCAATAACTCAGTAACTATTGATTTACGGCAAAAATGAAGGCCATATTCTATTTGTGTTTGGCATGCAAAATACTACTAGATATATAATCTAGATCTAGAAATAAAGCATATTCAAACGAGTACATGAGACGGGTGTATTAGTTTTAAAAAACACTGTGTCTACGTACACGGTTACCGTGTACGTAGCCTCGGGGTCAACGTACACGGTAACCGGGCACGTAAACTAGCCTCAGTGTCTACGTACACGGTAACCGGCAACCGGGCGCGTAGCCTCAGTGTCTACGTACACGGTAACCGGGTATGTAGTCTCAATGTCACACACACGGTAACCGGGTATTTAATTTTGTTGGGGAGGGGGGGGGGCTTGAGCTAGGTGCACAATAACTGCTTTGCTCTCTTCATGACGTTGACCTTTTTCCTTTTTCACCGTATAGTCCCAATATCACACACACGGTAACCGGGCACGTAGCGTCAGGGTCTACGTACACGGTAGCCGGGCACGTAGCGTCCGGGTCTACGTACACGGTAGCCGGGCTCGTAGTGTCAGGGTCTACGTACACGGTAACCGGGTGTGTAGTTTCAATGTCACACACACGGTAACCGGGCACGTAGCCTCAATATCTACCAGCACGGTAACCGGGTATTTTGTTTTGTGGGCGGGCGCTTGAGCTAGGTGCACGGTAACTGCTTCGCTCCCTTCGTGACCTTGACCCTTTTCCTGTTTCACTCCGCTTTTTATGTCCCAAAACCACGAAAATTATCCCAATCTACTCCCCGTCATCTTTCCTAGTTTAGTTTAGTTTTAGCAGAGGTTTTACGGCACTCGCAACTGCATAAGGTCATATGAGCGCCAGAGAATTAGAGGTGTTACAAGAGAGTAACAAACATAAAAAAGAAGAAGGTGAAATAAGGACGATAGATGTTTGATAGAAAAGAAGGAGCAAACCACACCAGAGCCCCCACCCGCCAACCACCCACGTCATCTTTCCTTAGGGAGGGCAAAATTCAGTGACACTGAAAAACGCGAGAGGGGGGGGGGAGAGAGAGAGAGAGAGAGAGAGAGAGAGAGAGAGAGAGAGAGAGAGAGAGAGAGAGAGAGAGAGAGAGAGAGAGAGAGAGAGAGAGAGAGAGAGAGAGAGATTTTTTTTAAAGTATGCACTTGATCAGGTTCCCCCCCCCCCCCCCCCCGACTGTACCTTTAAAAAAAAATCAATAATTCCCCCCCATTCCGGAACCCTATACACACTTTGAATGAACTTTGGTGACCCCATGCGATCACTGGTACTCACAATGTGATGCGAAGGTACAGGTCCATTGACCGGTCACGATGTCGAGCCCGACAAGACGCTTGTGTAACTTTCTTTTTTTTCAGCAAGTGAAAACACAGGACAATGATTTATCTGGGTGGTAACGAAAGCCAAAGTAGATCGAGCTTCGGTACCAGGCATACACTTACGCTTGCCGCCAAAGCGCCATGTTCATACCAAAAACTATCTTTTGTTTTCGTAAAAGTTAGAACTTGCAACACAATAAGTTCATATAAGTGCCGAAGATTAGAGGTGTTAGTGTTACAAGAGAGTAACAAACACAAAAAGAAGGAAAAGAAAGATAAGGATGACAGATGTTGAACAGGAAAGAAGGAGCAGACCACACAAGAGTACCCACCAACCACCCACTAATACTATCTTTACACACACCACACTTACAATCACACACAAAAATACATTAACACACACACACACACAGAGAGAGAGAGAGAGAGAGAGAGAGAGAGAGAGAGAGAGAGAGAGAGAGAAAGATTGAGACAGATTGAGACAGAGAGTGAGAGAATAGAGAGAGAGAGGGGAAAAGTAAAAGAGATAGAGTGAGAGATGGGAAAAGTAAAAGAGATAGAGAGAGAGGAGAGAAAGAAAGAAAGAGAGAGAGAGAGAGAGAGAGAGAGAGAGAGAGAGAGAGAGAGAGAGAGA